AGAGCGATTTTTTAATTGGATATTTGGAAAGAGTGGGTTAAAAATGTTTCCAAAATCTCTCTGTAAATCACAATCTCACAAAATTATAAAACATTGAGCTTAAGGTATCCGACTACGTTCGGAATCTTGATTTTAAAAAAGCGCATAAATGTATAATTTTCATGATATTTAGTGTCACTTAGATTAGAATACATGTATAAAATTGTTTTAAGGATATTATGACAAAAAAATAAATTATATAAATACAATATTTTGGCAAAAAATTAACTTAGAATCACCTTTTTTCCAAATGTTCTCCTTTTGAAAAAAAATGCTTCTATTGTATTAATATTTTGCCTGTATATAGCTCAGACATCTGTACAGAGGCTTAACTAAGATTTTTGAAAAAATAACATTATTTTCAGAGTTACAACCATTTGTAATAATTATCGGCGTATTTTCTTAAAATTTCTCCCTTCTGTTTTCGTAAAACATGGATAAACCGACTTCCAAGTTATGCATTTCAAAAATTCTAGTTGAGCCTCTGTAGAGAGGTCTGAGCTATATACAGGCAAAATATTATTATAATAGAAGCATTTTTGACAAAAGGAGAACATTTTGAAAAAAGGTTATTCTAAGTTAATTTTTTGCCAAAATATTGTACTTAAATAATTTTTTTTGTCAAAATGTCCTTAAAAAAATTGTATACATGTATTCTAATCTAAGTGACACTAAATGTCCTGAAAATTATCCGTTTATGCGCTTTTTGCAAAATCAAGGTTCCGAACGTATTCGGATACCTTAAAGGATATACTCCCATATAAAATTTTATTTAAAGGACTTAATATTTTTCAACAAGTGAATTGAGTTAGACTTGTTGAAAAGAAAATACATTTATTAATTATGAGAGATGAGGAACATAATATATTCACAATGTTTAAAACGGGATCATTTTATTTGATAACGTCTCCCTTTTAAAATTTTATCGAAAAAGCTATGAACAACTATTACTATTTAACATTAGTTTAAGACTGTATTCGCCTGATGTTAGAAAACAGGGGATTTAAACTTGGAAGAATTTTCTCAATTAATTATCATATTCTGAATTTTCATTAGCTTAAAGATTATATCAAATAATTAGCATAATTTGTTTCAATCGGTCTGTTTGTTCTTGCTCACAGTATGTTCTATATTTTATCTCGTATACTTTATTTCTAAATTATCTTTTGAACTTCATATTTAGTGAATGCTTTTTAATTTTAAAGCCATGGTGTCTCATAAATGAGTATATGTGTTCTTAAAACAAAATGATACATTAATATTGAGGTATTTCTACTCGAAAGAGAGTTTAGAGCATAGTTTTTGTTTAAAGCTAGTTGCGATATTTGATAACATGACCCTTTAACTATTTAGAATAATCTTTTTTTATAAATCAAAGAAATTTATTATTTAGCTTTTTATCTATAATTAAAATGATCTCTTATAGTTGTATAAATTTTAGTAAAAGAATTAGTACTTTAAATACTCTTTATGAAAATTAAATAATTTATGTTTATAAGTAGATATTTTTTAGTAAAAGAAGTAACTAGTGTAAGTGTTACACATCTTTAAAAATGTCTTTCTTTAGGTGAGCTCTAAATAGTTCAGAGAAAATTACTATTGAAAAAATAAACAGCTTTTTAACTTTACAACGGCAGCACAGTTAGAATATTTTATCAATTATAAATTCAGTGCTGAAATTTTTTAAAATTTTATTTCACTTAGTTTTTATAAAAGTGAAATATTTGTAATATTAGATTAAGCAATTTAAAGAACATTTTTTCAAGGTAAATTAAGAACTCTTTACATTGTATGGCAAATGGCAATTTATATAACTATCAATTAAATTGGAAGACAATCTACAGTAAAATTTTTTACGAAAAATTAGTATAGCATATACCCAGTTTATCTTTAAATATTTATGCTCTACATAAATATACTATAATGTATCTCATTCAATTACATGTTTTCCTTTTAACTGAGAATTTATGTGCCTTAACCTTCTGTCGATTGCACTAGTGCAAAAGAAGCACAGCTGCAGTTTTTTTTACAGTACATGATTTTTAAAACGTTTATTTTATTTTTTTTATGCTTCAGTCACCAATAAGTCAAAATTAAGAATGAAGCGCTGTGGAGTTCAAAAAATTTGTTGTTTTGTGGAAATATTGTGTTTTTTGAATAGTAAAAAAACTTTGTTTTCAAAAAACATTTTTTAATTCCATAATCTAGATTTTAAGAAAGACAAGTATTACAGACCATCACCCAGATCAAAGGAGGATGGGAGATACGGCAATTTGAAATTGCGTGCATTTTTTGCACATTGCGACTGACTGAAGCCACAAAAAGTTGCTACCGACGAAGGGTTAAATTCTTGAAAAGAGTTGATAAGCACAGTTTGAGTTAATCTTTAAGCATTTTTTTTTTTTTAACAAAAATAGCAGTTTTAAAGAAAAAGAAAATGCAAAAATAAAGGAATATTCTTAATCAAGTTTTGCTTGACGTGAATAAAATATATTTAACTGAAAAAAAAACAACTAACGAAAGGGAAAATGTTGATTTTCTCAATGCAAAAACTTGGAAACTTATTTTACGAGGTACATTTCATGACACGAAATGCAAATTTTGAAGTTATTTTTTGCAATCTGGGCAAGTGTCCAAGTTAAAGCTTTGATTTTGAAAAGATTTGCTCTGGATAGATGGGTGAAAAATGTAATAAAAAGAAAAAAAAAATTCTGCTACAATGAAAAATTCAGTTGGAAAACTATGGTAGGTGAAAAAGGTTTCTTCATAAAAATGTGTGTATTGTATAATATTATTTGATAAAAACGTATGAAATGGGTTTTGTGAAAATATTTTATTAGTGGCAATATATAGTACGAGTAGACCCTCCCTCTCAAATAAATAATGTGAACTAAATAGTTTTTTGACATATGGACAATATATATATCTTTTGACTTCTATTGGATTTACGTCTGAATAAAACAATGCGAGGTCTAATGGTGTGACGGATCCTGTACTTTTGAAATATGTTTAAGTGACAAAAATGATACCTGAGTTGTTACCTCACTCTTATAATTTTTCTACCATACCACGTGAGGACTTTGAAATCCAATTGCATTGAAATGATACGGCTGTTCTGTTAATATATTTGGGATATCTTTAGGGGAATCAAAACTTGATTTTAAACTGGAAAACTCGTCCTTTAAAGTTGTAAGATACATAGGAAATTAAAGATTAAGCTTAAAGTATGGTATGCATGAAAGGTCTAAATATTTATGAGTATTCGAATATTTTTCAGGCGATGAAATAAAATACCATTTTTAACCCTTTAACGTGCACAAAGCTAAAATAGCTTTTCTGTGATAAAGTACTTGATAAATGTAATGTTCTCATCCTCTGTAAACATTATTTAGTCACAAAAAATATCTGATATCTGTTATTCCTGGGTGGTGGCTAGACGTTACAGCCACTGCGCATTTACGACATTTAACTTACTTTTCAGGACAGAGAAAATGAATCATTTTACAATAAACTTTTTTATGAAAAATTAACATTTATGCTAATAACTATTTCAATAACAATTAAATACAAAATAGAAGTGCAATAAAATAATAATAGAGAACAATTGTACAACACAGAATACTTACTTAGAATATACATAGAATACTTAGAATATACATTGAAATTGGTATATATCCACAATTTATATTTTATTCAATTTTAGTGTAAAAAGCTAGAAATAGAGTAACATTTTTGAGGATTTAAATTAGTTATTTCACAAATTTTATGAGCTATTTATTGTGGAACTTTATAATATGCGAAAGTTTTCTCCGAGCAGAAAAGCTGTAATGAAAGATTTTCGAACCCGAGAATCTTGTACTACGTATTGTAAACAAAGTTTGTTTTTATTTCCGACCCCCAGCATTCTCACATGATTCTAAGTGCTCTCTCTCGAGTACAGGAAATAGGTCATGTTTCTGTTTTATGTGGGCAGTGGATAGAGCTTCTATCCACATATAAAAGCTTTCCAAAAATCTAAATAAAACCTTTTCTTTTTAATTGTACAATTGCTTAATTTATTCAGATGAGAGAAAAGTATACTTAAGACATGTCAAATTTTTTTTCAAAGATCAGAAATTTTATTTATAGAAATCAAAATACAGTTTGTAGAGTTACACCGAGAAAAACTGTTTTTAACTACCCATCAGAGGACATGGAATGCAAAATAAGGTACCGTGCTGCCATACGTATTAATTTTTATGCGTTTTAGCTTCAATTAACGCATATAGATTGACTAAATATCCAACACCCGCTTGGAGAAATTTTTTTTTAATATGTGGATAGACCTATTAGCCACTGCCTGCTAAAGGGTTAAAACATGATATTTAATTCAAGTTTATGAAAGGTTTCCGGCTGTTTGTGTTTTGGAAAATCAGGTTCTAAAAATGTCAAAGAATAAGATCAATACTTTTGCATTGATTTTGTTTTGTTCTATATTACTCCCAGTAAATACTACTGCATAATTCTATTTTGCTTTTTGTACGCTTTTAAGGGCTATTTTCGATCAATAATTTTGTATACATATACTCTTATATCCCATTAATAAGCTTATCAAACATGCAACTTAATATTTATAATGTGTTACATAGAATATATACATTTTCATGACATATTCGGTTATTTTTCATAGTTAATAAACAAATAATATAAAACAAATAAGTCAATTATTATTAGGTCAACAAAAAAAGAAAACTTTATTTTAGTTACTTTTTATTAAATAGTTACAATTAGTATAAATATGTATATACATATGACAGAATCACAATATTAAGTGACAAAATAGAAAGCGATTTTCTTTCCAATTTTTCATTTTTCTTTCTATATATGGTTTCGGACTTTTTTTTTAGTTTGTTACTATTTATTCATTAATTAAATTTAATTATTCTAGTGAAATAGAAATCATATTCTCAGAAATTAGGCAATGTCATATGGGATTCGAACCCACCACCTTTGGATTAGAAGTCCAACGCGCTTTCCATTGCGCTACAGGAACACAACGAACGATTTTCCTTTCTATATATGCTGTTTGACTATTATTTTTGTTTGTTAATATTTTTTCCTTTTTAAATTTAATTAATGAATTAATATTTGAAAAACTGAATTAACATCAAGTGTCATGCACTACAAGTTTAAAAAATGTATTTGAACTTGAATGGATGAATAGAAAGTAACTATTGAAAGTAATATTAACAATTGAAAATTTGAACAATATATATATATATATATATACAGATAGCTAGAGAACTTAAGTATAACTATTCAAAATAGGAAACATTAGGCACAGTAGTATAATAACAAAATCCTGGCCTTAGGAACCAAGATTGCAGGTTTAAACAAGTTTTAGGGTTAGCCAACCTTCACCTGTAATTTGCCTAAACCACTGAGCCAAAGGGAAAGAAAAGAATAATATTAAAAGAAATTTAAATACTACAAATAAAATCACTATACTAATAAAATATAACGATAAAATTATAGCCTACTAGTATTCACAGTATACATTTAAATTCCCAAAAGGTAGATAACTTACTTCGTGAGCGTATCAACTGGTTATGTTTCCCGCCAAATACAACAGAGGAAAATAGTACCGCATAAAGTTAAAAATTATGATAGAATAATATAAAGTCTATATATAAATGTACGTTTAAAAAATCATAAATATATATTGATATAAATATTTGAGGAAAATAAATGAAACAAGAAATTTAAATAATATTATTAATTTATTAAACACTTGGCGCCATCTATTGAATAATTGTATAATTAGTTAAAAATACTAGTATTAAAACATAATGTCAATAATAGTTTAATACAAATTGTATATCACTGAGAACTATTAGAAATATAATTGTAAAGAAAGTTAGCAGGATATCCATGTTCAATACATTGTTTAATAAAGTTATTAAGATTTAAATAAATATTAGCTTTATCACTAACTAATACATTATTACGATAAATATAGTTAAAAATAATATTTCTATATATAGATATAGATAAATTTGAATTCCAGTAAGGCACTTTAAGAATGTTAAAATTAAAGGCATCTCTTTTATCATAAATATTACTATGTAATTTCAAATCCTTAATATACAATGTTACATCTAAGTAATTAGTTTTAATTGGATTATTATTAATTTTTACTAAGTTTAAGTAATCCGGATAAAAATTAATTTTGGGATTGAAATTATCATTTTTACCAAAAATAAATATATCATCAATATATCTAAAAATGTAATAGTCATTATTATTAATATAATTATATTCATAAAAGTGTAATATAAATTAGCCAAACTATTGCTTGCTGGGCCTCCTTGTGGCAAGCCTTTATTTTGTTTATATAATGAACCATTAAAATTAATGTAATTTTCTTTTAAGACTAAATCAATGAGAGTTTTAAATTTGTTAATACTAATATTAAGATTATAAATACTATGGTTTTCTAAAATTACTTTAATAATATCATTGATATCAATGGAATTGAAAAGATCTTCAATGTCATAACTATGAACTGAATAAATATTTTTATTTTTAAAAAAATCCATAAAATCTTTACTATTTATTATTATTACTATATATATATAAATCCCTATTTTTTACACTGTTGTTACAACCATAATTTGATTTTAAATTAAAACGCATTTTTAACAAGACATTATTAAGAGCAAATACTTACGTCTATATATTCTCTTCAGTGCAAATGTAAGCCAATCATCGAAAGGTTCTAATTGTAGCCATGCTTTGAAACTTACTGGAGAGGATTATGCGCACAGTCGACAATTACCTTCTTTAAAACCCGAGGCGCTCAGACATATTAAATTCTGAATTCTTCCTCGGGGCTGTTTTTCAGCTGGGTAAGCATTTCCGAATAATTTGAGGACGAAATGAAATTTGATTTTAATTTGATTGAAGGAATCAAACCCCGTACAAAATCGTTACCTTCCGGCTATATTTCGTGTATCTACTTTTAACTGAAGCATTAATTGAGCAAAGGAAAGAGTCCTTCGTTTAATGAAGTTCTAAGACTCAATTTAGTGATAAGCTTGGAGCCAAACTATAAAGCATTACGCTTCCTCCTCCCCTTTCTGGGAATTTACCAAAATTGCTCTAAAGGGAATTATGATTAGAGCCGAGGGTAGGAGAGCAGAAATTTAGAATAGATCCCGTCTCCTTACTGATTATTTCAGCTACAGTGACAAGTAGCTGGGTTCAAGTGCACTTTATAGAACGTTTTGTTTAAGGGTGTTATGTGACTTATGAGAATATTAAGCGGCGAGGGTATCGTTGTGTGCATTGAGAAAGCATTTAAATCGTCTTCTTTGTTTTCTACGAACAACTCATTAAAATGAAAAAATATTTACAACTACCCAGATAAATATTTTTGGATATTTACGAGGTAAGGGCATTTCGGACTAATATATTTTCGTAATAAAAAAAATTTGTATTTTTACAACACATAAGAAGTCATTAATATTACTGATAAAAATGTGACGTTTCACAAATGAAATAAACACACATTGAAATTCCTCAGTATTTGGGTAGTTTTAAATATAAGTTTCAAGCAATGTTTTGCCACAATTGAAACGTGTTCGATGTTATGAAAAATGTATAGCAAAATTATATAGAATAGATTAAATTATCCATACACAAATCATTTTCAATTGAACTAAATCAAAATAGAAAAGAAGTTTTTCGATGCGAATTCCTGTCGAAGAAGTTCAAAGTTACTAAAGAAAATTATTTCTGATCATTACAATTGGTTAATTGGTTATTATTCGTTCTGGCTTATTTACGTCAGAGCACAAATTACAAATTAATTTTTAAAGAAAGTATCTCCAAGAGAGATATATCGAATGTTTCCTGAGTAAGTCCTGTAATTTTTATCCAGTTGATTAAATGATTGTTTATTAACATCACATTTTGAAACAATGCGAGGGTCATTGGCAGTATAATTTTGAACCACTTGAGCTCTGATGTAGCCGCAAATTGAAATAAATTATCTCTCTTCATGAAAAATATTACATCACTCACCACACTCAACTGTTCCTAATTCTTGTTTTTAAATTAGCTTCTGAATTATTAAAACTAGATTATGACGTATATAATGTTTGTGAAACAAACTACCAAATGAGAACTAAATACTTTTTTGGAAGTTGTTATAATGGGATATCACCCTTAACTACTTAAAATAGTTGAAAATAACAAATAATACATATTTCTGGAGTCATAGTAACGTTATCACAAACTTTGTTCCCAAAAAACAGTGAATTTGAGACTAAATTATTCACTAAAAATGTTGTGTAAAAAATTGAAAAGCAGAAACTTCTGCACTCTAAATCTTATTAGGTCTCTAACATAGTACAGAAGTTACTAAATGTCTTCCCTATCGTTCGCGATAACTTTCAAAATCAAGAAGTTCATCAACACTAACCTCTTAGGAAATCTAAATGCGGTATTAATTCAACAAATTCAATTTTAGATCTCTCTGGAAAAAAAAATCCAAATTTATTGGCGAAGGTAATCTAGTGCTTAAGGTCACGAGCTTCAGAGCTGACAACATTCTGTCTTATTTTGGATTCAAGCACCAAAGTCACAATCATGGTGCAGAATTTGTCTCGGAAAATTACTGTATAAGTTTCAAATACAGTACAATTTAATCATTTATAAAGATTTAGCTTTAATGCTGCATATTTCTAACATTAAGTGCAAAAAGTACTCTTGGTTTTAGTATACGAAGTAATAAATTTAAGAGCATCAACTACCTTCACTCAATTGCTGCCACATCTTTTCCCTGCGGGTTGATATCAGACGCTCGCAAATAGCCCTTAATGTATTTCCAGAGCAATCACATTCAGCCAATCAAGCTTGAGGACCGTTCTGAAACTGTAGAGCAAACATCTGTGCCTCATTAGAATTCGAATCAAGTCTAACGGTATTGAAATTACCATCCTACAGACACTCCGCTATTAATACAGATTCTATTAAATGAATCCTTCTGAACTGTTTCTATCTCTGTAAGAAAATCGATGTCTTCGTTCTCTCTTTCTTTCGAATTGTAGATTCGAATACCGGTGTCACTTGAGACCTGCGGTGTAGTGGGGCTGATGTATGTTAAATCTTCAAGGCTCAAATTCCTCACAATAGCATGGAGGGAAAATTTAGAAAAGGGAACAAAAAACCTTCACTGCGTGTATGGTGCATACCTTTTGTAGGTAATTTGAACCACGATCAAATGAAGAGAATGATACCTAAGGGTTATACCGCGAAATAATGAAGGCTATATATAAAACTACAATTGAACCTGTTTTTGTGCAGTAGATAGGGACGGCATAAAAATAAACGCACAAAAAAATACTCAAAAATTTCATAAATTCTTACCTATAACAAACTAATTCGTGGAAATACTGCAAAAAACTTTTTTTATGTGTTGGATAGGGACCGCATAAAAAAAGTCGCATTTATAAAATATGCCAATTATTTACGAAATTTATGTAAGAATACTTCCATAACAAAATAAATAATTAAATATTACACATGGAAACATTTTTAAAACATATAGTTTCTCATTGTATACACGGATAAGTTTTCAAAATGCACATAAATAATTCATTGCTACTCATCGTAATCCAAGACCTGTAATGAATAAGTTCAAAATCGCTTTCGCGTCACTTGAAGTTACAATTTCAATTGATTTATTTTTTGGCAACATAAAGTGAGAGATAAGTTCTTGGTCGAAGGTCGGGTGGTCATTTGCTTATAAATGTCACGATAACCAGATATACAGGATTGAAGCCCTTTATGGAATTTTACACTCCTTTATTAATTGGTATGTAATTGAAGAAAATGCTTTTCCATTTTGTTGGAAAGCTGAATCCCTGCATATTTTTATCCGCACTCAAAAAATTCGATTCTTTTTGTCCGTCTTCATAATCCATCAAATTATTGATAATGTCACTGTCATTGAAAGTTCTGTCTTCAATCAAGCGCGGGCTG